GAGGAAACCATGCCTCGCCATTTACTCTCTCAAAATCCCCCACAACAACAACAATTTGCATTTATTAGCGCCCCTCACACAGGGAGGCATCTCAGAGCACCTCAATTAAATCTCCCCTCAACCTGCTATTATGACGGCTGAGAGGTTAAACCGAGCTCCCATTCTGATCCGGCTGACGTTAAACATCCCGCTGTGCTGATCTTGGCTCATCGGCAGGACCTGGAAGGGTAGACCAGTTACCGGGGGCAAGGAGTCATCCCGCTCAGGGTGTCAGACACCCGGCTGATCACGGTGACGGGTTTCCATGCTATCAGACACCCGGCTGATCACGGTGACGGGTTTCCATGCTATCAGACACCCGGTTGACAGATTAACGAATGTATTTTGTGTTCTTTCAGGTACGAATGGAAAGGCAATATAGAGGAAGATAATGAGGTTCTACTGGTCAGTATTTAATACACTTTAAGCACTATTTACCCAACTTACTTCACTTTTGGGTTATTTAGCTGCCACTGACATAATTTCCTGTTTGCAGGAAGTGATATCGCTGTGATCTCAGGTGTTGTAGAAGAATTAGAGGGGATCTTATAGAAACCTATAAGATCATCAAAGGGCACGATAGAGTAGATAGTGGGAGAAACTAAAACCAGGGGTCACAACCTTAAAATCAGAGGCAGCCCTTTCAGACTGAGTTGAGGAAGAACTTCTTCACTCAAAGGGCAGTGAATGTATGGAACTCACTACCCCAAAGGGCTGTTGACGCTCAGTCCTTGAACATATTCAAGACTGAGATGGATAGATTTCTTATTGCAAAAGGGATTGCGGGATATGGGGATAAGGCAGCGTCAGGTTATTAGCTGGAGTTAGATTAGAAGATCAGCCATGATTGAATGGCGGGGCAGAGGCTCGAAGGGCCGGATGGCCTCCTCCTGCTCCTACATGTTATGTTATGTTAAAAATGACCAACTTCTGGGTTATTGAGTTTGCAGCAGATGTCACTTCCTGCATTTATGACAGATGCACTGCACTGTGTGTCGCTGGCTATAACTGTATATTATCCTGTAGGAGTCCTGTAGCTCAGTGGTTAGAGCGCTCGCCTCGCAAGCGAGAGACCAGGGTTCGATTCCCAGCAGGTCAGGGCGAAACCTTGGGCAAGTTTCCTTACCCCATTCACCTGAGAATAATCCCTCAAAAAAAAATTACTCACTTCAATCCACGACTGTTTGTGGGACACCACTGTGCGCAATTGGCTGCCGCGTTTCGCCCACAAAATACACAGTCAATTCACTTTACAGTATGTTCTGTGAAGCGCTTTGAGACGTCTCAAATGACGTGGTCAGGTGCCATATCAGATGCAAAGATTTATGAGATTTATTACGGTGCAAATCTGGAACTCTCTCCCCAAAAGGCAGTGGATGTAATTGTCAAGACTGAGGTGGATAGATGTTCGTTAGGTTATGGTATCGGGGGGTACAGAGCAAAGGAGCCTTAAATGGAGTTGAGGTACAGATCAGCCATGATCTAGAATGTTGGGCGGAACAGGCTTGAGGGGCTGAATGGGCTCCTCCTGTTTACTGTGGGAGTTTATTGGTGGGTTAACTGAGTCTCTGCCCTTTGCTTCCCAACAGATGATCAAAACTAGAAGCACAAAAGTGGTGGATTTAGCTGCGTACGTGCGGTGAGTGAGTCAAACAGACTCTGTATCCTCCTGTTCCCCTGTGTCAGTGTCACTGCGTCAGTCAGTGTTACTGTGTCAGTCAGTGTTACTGTGTCAGTCAGTGTTACTGTGTCAGTGTTACTGTGTCAGTCAGTGTTACTGTGTCAATGTTACTGTGTCAGTGTTACTGTGTCAGTCAGTGTTACTGTGTCAGTGTTACTGTGTCAGTGCCACAGTGTCAGTGTTACTGTGTCTGTCAGTGTTACTGTGTCAGTGTTACTGTATCAGTGTTACTGTGTCAGTGTTACTGTGTCAGTGTTTCTGTGTCAGTCAGTGTTACTGTGTCAGTGTTACTGTGTCAGTCAGTGTTTCTGTGTCAGTGTTTCTGTGTCAGTGTTTCTGTGTCAGTGTCACTGTGTCAGTCAGTGTCACTGTGTCAGTCAGTGTCACTGTGTCAGTCAGTGTCACTGTGTCAGTCAGTGTCACTGTGTCAGTCAGTGTCACTGTGTCAGTCAGTGTCACTGTGTCAGTCAGTGTCACTGTGTCAGTCAGTGTCACTGTGTCAGTCAGTGTCACTGTGTCAGTCAGTGTCACTGTGTCAGTCAGTGTCACTGTGTCAGTCAGTGTTACTGTGTCAGTGTTACTGCGTCAGTCAGTGTTACTGTGTCAGTGTCACTGTGTCAGTCAGTGTTACTGTGTCAGTGTCACTGTGTCAGTCAGTGTCACTGTGTCAGTCAGTGTTACTGTGTCAGTGTTACTGTGTCAGTCAGTGTTACTGTGTCAGTGTTACTGTGTCAGTCAGTGTCACTGTGTCAGTGTTACTGTGTCTGTCAGTGTTACTGTGTCTGTCAGTGTTACTGTGTCTGTCAGTGTTACTGTGTCTGTCAGTGTTACTGTGTCTGTCAGTGTTACTGTGTCAGTCAGTGTTACTGTGTCAGTGTCACTGTGTCAGTCAGTGTTACTGTGTCAGTGTTACTGTGTCAGTCAGTGTTACTGTGTCAGTGTTACTGTGTCAGTCAGTGTTACTGTGTCAGTCAGTGTTACTGTGTCAGTGTCACTGTGTCAGTGTTACTGTGTGTCAGTGGTGCCGGTTGGTGTTTGCCGTCACCCCAGTCCTCGCCAGACTCGACTGGCCCCCAATTACCAAACGGATCGATTTCAAGTCCTCTCACTCATCTTCCATTCCCTCCATTCCCTCCATCCCTCCCTCCCTCACTCACTCACTCACTCACTCTCTCTCTCTCTCTCTCTCTCTCTCTGTGACCAGGTCTCTCTCTCTCACACTCACTCTCTGCCTCTCTCACACTCGCTCTCTGCCTCTCTCACACACTCACTCTCTCTCTCACACTCTCTCTCACACTCACTCACTCTCTCTCTCTCTCTCTCTCTCTGTGACCAGGTCTCTCTCTCACACTCACTCTCTGCCTCTCTCACACTCGCTCTCTGCCTCTCTCACACACTCACTCTCTCTCTCACACTCACTCTCTCTCTCACTCACTCTCTCTCTCTCTCTCCCTCTCTGTGTCCAGGTCGGTTCACCCCTATGAGGTGGCTGAGGTGATCAGTGTACCTATTGAGCAGGGAAACCCACCCTACATGAAGTGGTTGAGCGACACGGTGCCTGAATAGGCAGAGCTGAGCTTGAAGCTCCCTCTACTCCCCCCTACCACTCTTTCCCCGTCCCCGCCTTTCCCCTCCACCTCTCCCCCTCTCCCCCACCCCCTCTCCCCCACCCCCTCTCCCCCACCCCCTCCTTTACCCATTCACTCAAGTGTGCAAACTATCCGGTGTCACTGCTGCATCTTCATTCACTGCTTTTCAAATTAAAACTGTGCTGGAGCTCACTCTGCCCTGAACTGGATTCACTCCCTCTCTCATTCATCCCTGTCGTGGAGTCCTGTAGCTCAGCGGTTAGAGCACTCGCTTTGCAAGCGAGAGACCTGAGTTCAATTCCAGGCAGAGGGCGAAACCTTGGGCAAGTTTCCTTACTCCACACAGAGCCTAATAATAATCCCTCCAAAACCAAAAACAATAATAAATTGGTCATTTTCAATCTACGACTGTTTGTGGGACATTGCTGTGCGCAATTGGCTGCCGCGTTCGCCCACAAATATACAGTCAATTCACTTTACAGTGTGTTCTGTGAAGCACTTTGGGACGTCCTCCTGACGTGAAAAGCGCTATATCAAATGCAAGGATTATTATTATTATTATTATTATTATTATCCCGTGGAGTCCTGTAGCTCAGTGGTTGCGTCACTCCCCGCGCGAGCGAGACAAGGGTTTGATTCCTGTCGGGGGAAACGTTGGCCAAGTTTCCTTACTCCCTCGTCTCCGTTTACTGACGTGAAAAGCGCTATATCAAATGCAAGGATTATTATTATTATTATTATTACTGAGCGGATGGTTAGGAACCCGATTGTCAGTTGACTGTTGGGATTGTTTTTCTGAGGATAATAATCCCTTCAAAACAAACTACTCATAATAATTCGGTCACTTCAGTCCACGTTTGTGGGACAGACACTGCTGCGCACAATTGGCGTTTCACCCACAAAATATAGTCACTGCACTGTACAGTGTATTCTGTGAAGCGCTTTGAGACCCCTGGAAGACCTGGAGCTGAGTGGGATGACTCCCTACCCCCAGGGGCTGACGGCCCTTCCTTCTCGGCCCTGACCCCCCACAGGCACTACACTGGAGTGTCAGCCTGAACTGAACTGAAAAGTCAGACGTGACGAGGGGAGGTGGGAGGGCTTGAACCCACCAACCTTCTTAACACAGAGACAGCCCCACTGGGGCTCACAGGCCCACACACACACAGCACACAGGCCCCCACACACACAGCCCCACACACACACAGCACACAGGCCCACACACACACAGGCCCCCACACACACAGCCCCACACACACAGGCCCACACACACACAGACCCACACACACATCCCCACACACACACAGACCCACACACACAGGCCCACACACACACAGGCCCACACACACACACACACACAGGCCCCCACACACACAGCCCCACACACACACAGCACACAGGCCCACACACACACAGGCCCACCACACACACACAGGCCCACACACACACAGGCCCCCACACACACAGGCCCACACACACACAGGCCCACACACACACAGGCCCACACACACACAGGCCCACACACACAGCCCACACACACACAGCACACAGGCCCACACACACAGGCCCCCACACACACACAGGCCCCCACACACACAGGCCCACACACACACAGGCCCACACACACATCCCCACACACACAGCCCCACACACACAGCCCCACACACACACAGCACACAGACCCACACACACACAGCACACAGCGCCACACACACAGACACAGCACACACACAGCCCCACACACACACACAGCACACAGGCCCACACACACACAGCACACAGGCCCACACACACACAGCACACAGGCCCACACACACACAGGCCCACACAGACACCTAGACACCTAGACACACACACACAGACACCTAGACACCTACACAGACACAGACACCTAGACACACAGACACCGACACACACAGACACCTAGACACACACACACACAGACACCTAGACACACAGACACACACACACAGACCCAGACACACACAGACCTAGACACACAGACCCATAGAAACACACACAGGCCCCCCCCCACACACACACACAGGCCCACACACAGAGACCCATAGAAACACACACAGACACACACAGACCCCCACGCGCACGCACAGACCCACACAGACACGGAGAAGGTGGTTTGGAAGTGTTTAACGTTGAGGGAAGCAAACTGTAATAAGTCAGTGAAAGACAATGTTGTATAACACAGAGAGAGCAGTGAGCAAACCCGAGGCCGGTGAACACACAGCCTCAGAACAAACAGCAACCGCACGTAACAGGACAACGCAGCTTATAATATAATATAATTATTAGATATATTTATATTTATATATAGATCATCTCTCGTACAGAATAACAAAATAAACTCAATATACCATCTGGATCCAGTGTCTCTCTCAGCCCCTCACCCACCTCCTGACACACACCCCACCCCCTCACTCACCTCCTGACACACACCCCACCCCTCACCCACCTCCTGACACACACCCCCACCCCCTCACCCACCTCCTGACACACACCCCACCCCCTCACCCACCTCCTGACACACGGCCCTCCTCACCCACCTCCTGACACACACCCACCCCTCACCACCTCCTGACACACGCGCCCCTCACCCCCACCTCCTGACACACGCGCCCCCTCACCCACCTCCTGACACACGCGCCCCCTCACCCACCTCCTGACACACGCGCCCCCTCACCCCCACCTCCTGACACACGCGCCCCCTCACCCCACCTCCTGACACACACCCACCCCTCACCCACCTCCTGACACACACCCCCACTCCCTCACCCACCTCCTGACACACGCGCCCCCTCACCCCACCTCCTGACACACGCGCCCCCTCACCCACCTCCTGACACACGCGCCCCCTCACCCACCTCCTGACACACGCGCCCCCTCACCCCCACCTCCTGACACACGCGCCCCCTCACCCCCACCTCCTGACACACGCGCCCCCCTCACCCCCACCTCCTGACACACGCGCCCCCTCACCCACCTCCTGACACACGCGCCCTCTCAACCACCTCCTGACACACACCCCACCCCCTCACCACCTGACACACCCCCCTCACCACCTCCTGACACACACCCCCCTCACCCACCTCCTGACACACACCCCCCTCACCCCCACCAACCTCCTGACACACACGCGCCCCTCACCCCTCACCCTACCCACCTCCTGACCACACGCGCCCCTCACCCCACCCACCTCCTGACACACACGCGCCCTCACCCTCACCCCTACCCACCTCCTGACACACACGCGCCCCCTCACCCCACCCACTCCTGACACACACGCGCCCCTCACCCCTACCCACCTCCTGACACACACGCGCCCCCTCACCCCCACCCACCTCCTGACACACACGCGCCCCTCACCCCTCACCCTACCCACCTCCTGACACACACGCGCCCCTACCCCCACCCACCTCCTGACACACACGCGCCCCTCACCCCCACCCACCTCCTGACACACATCTCCCTCCAAAACTCCTCCCTCACATCAACTGGGACTCCAGCCATTAATACAAAGCGAATAATTGGGAGGCGGCTGGAAAAGCTCCCCCTACACTGTCTGAGCACATTCCCAGGTCAGGGTTAGAGACAGACAGACACACACACACACACACACATCCCTACACACACGTACAGACAGACACACACACACACATCCCTACACACACGTACAGACACGCGCCCACAGACACGCACACACAGAGGGAGGGAAGGAAGGATTGATGGATGGACGGAGGGAGAGAGGGAGGGAGACAAGGGCAGCTAGAACATGGAGGAGCCCCCCCACTCCACCAGATACTGGACTTTGCCATCCAGTGTGACCCTCCGAGCCAGGATGCTGACGGTCTCCCCTCGCGCCAGCCTCCCCATTGCCCCCAGGTACCCGCTCACTGAGGAGCGGAAATAGGACAGTGGCAGGTCATCCTCGCTGGAGTCATAGGAGGTCTTAGCCTCCGCCTGGGGGTCCGACAACTCCCTTCCTCCTCCTCCTCCTCCTCCTCCTCTTCGTCTTCCTCATCCTCGTCCTCCTCCTCCTCCACCGCCAGTGCCTCGGTGCAGGGAGAGGGGGGAGGGTCAGCGAGAGCATCAACGCCGGGAAGAAACCAACACGACTCCACCGGCATATCCCTGAGTACAACACAGAGACAATTTGATTATACAGTTATAGCCATAACACATAGTGTGTTACTATACAGTGTTATACAGTAACACACAGTGTGTTACTGTATACTACAGTGTTATACACTAACACACAGTGTGTTACTATATACTACAGTGTTATACACTAACACACAGTGTGTTACTGTATACTACAGTGTTATACAGTTACACACAGTGTGTTACTATATACTACAGTGTTATACAGTTACACTGTTATACAGTTAACACAGTGTGTTACTGTATACTACAGTGTTATACAACAACACAGTGTGTTACTATATGCTACAGTGTTATACAGTTACACACAGTGTGTTCCTATATACTACAGAGTTATAGAGTTACACACAGTGTTACTATATACTACAGTGTTATACACTAACACACAGTGTGTTACTATACTATATCGTGGAGTCCTGTAGCTCAGTAGTTAGAGCACTCGCTTTGCAAGCGAGAGACCTGAGTTCAATTCCAGGCAGAGGGCGAGACCTCGGGCAAGTTTCCTTACTCCACACAGAGCCTAATAATAATCCCTCCAAAACCAACAACAATAATAAATTGGTCATTTTCAATCTACGACTGTTTGTGGGACATTACTGTGCGCAATTGGCTGCCGCGTTTGCCCACAAATATACAGTCAATTCACTTTACAGCATATTCTGTGAAGCGCTTTGGGACGTCCTCCCGACGTGAAAAGCGCTATATCAAATGCAAGGATTATTATTATTATTATTATATACTACAGTGTTATACACTAACACACAGTGTGTTACTATATACTACAGTGTTATACAGTTACACACAGTGTGTTACTATATACTACAGTGTTATACAGTTACACACAGTGTGTTACTATATACTACAGTGTAATAC